AATGTCATCTATTTTATGCTTCAGCAACAAAAGAGGTCTCGTTCTCTTTATGGAAGGGAGTATTTGTCAGTAATGGGACATATGGCTTTCATATAGAATGTTAAGGGAGCTGAGACTCGCAAAACTTCCATATTTAACATTCATTTTCACAATATACTTTGTTAAAAATCGATACATCCTTTTTGATGCTCATTATTACACTCTGGTCCACGTTTTCAACTTAGTATCGCAAATCAGAATAATCGTGCATTTTGTATATTGACGAAACTTTGAAAGAGTTTAAAAACGAAATTAAACAGGAATTTTGCTTTACATAAGTTTGAAAGCAACATTTGAAGAATTTCCTTCTTTTGTCACCCACTCAACGGAAGATTGTTCTCTTGAAAAAATTGTCTTACATGCGATAGATCGCTGTTAAAAAAGTGCTCATATTGATACGTTATAAATTGTCAGTTTTGACAAATCAGATCAAATTGACAAAGAATTATAATCTGATATAACAGCACTGAACCTTTTGTAGATTGGGAACTTCAGCAAAAAGAATTGCTTCACATCAAAAACAGTTAACAGCTTCAATTTTTCCAAAATTGATTTTTACAGCGTCTATCAGAATTATGCGACAAGAAGCGCAAATGTACAGTTTACGTGGACACTACAACTTTCGAGGATGACCCGTGTCCAACGACGTCGAAATATCTTCAAATGAGCTACAAATGTCGGCCAAGTGAGTGCTAATCCCACCACTATGAAGAAATAGCATTTGAGCGTTAATCTGCCTTCGCCAAGTCCTTTTCTGTCCATTATTAATGAGGTTTCGTAATTGATTTGGATTAATTGAACAGCGCCAGTGGAGCAGGGGTCTAATTAGCACTGGGAGTCACCAGCGGATGCTTCAAGCTCTCGTAGAGTTTTATGACTGGAGCTAAGCTTCTCTTTACAGTACTTTTTGATGGTGAGTCATTTTGCGAGGGAACTGAGATGCAGCTTGAGTGTCGAGAAGGCCGACGGCTAGCCATGTACTCAGCCACTTATGGACGCAGCTCTCGGGGACAAGCAGCTCATTGTACTGCACCAGTTCACTTTGGAAGAGGTTAGGTTGATTCTCATTGTGATAAAAGCAAAAAATCTTCTAATATCTTGTACGAGGTATATTCTCCTCGTCAGAAAACCAACGAACAGTGACTCTATTTGTTACTTAAGTTTTACAAGCACTTAAAAATTATTGTTAATTGGATTACGTATGAAGGGTTGTACTAAAGCTGAAATGGAATTGTTTTATTTTTCGTAAAGAAAAGAGCTCTATCTAATTAAAAATTTTAAAAAACTTTTTTTAACACAATTTTTGCCATTTTGTCCTTTCGTAAGCCTGATTTTGATGGCTGGTCAGCTGTTGCATTTCTTTGGAGAAAATACAGCAATTTTTGAATGGTTTTTTCAGTTCCCAATAGCTTTTTCTCTTGTAGCATCTAGGCCGAAGATTGAAATTTGTTGCGAAGATTGTTGTTTTTCATAGTCAAATGGAAATTTCCCATTTTATGATGAAAAAAAAATGCAATTTTGTTCCTGACGATTGAAAGAGTGAGCCTTTTTTGATCCTTTTTCTAACGTTTGAAATGTTCCCTGTTCCCAAAAAGGTCATCTGCTCGCAGTTTCTTCCTGCATGGCAAATCAAATAACTCGGAATTAAAAACCAAATGTCTCACGCCCTGGGA